AACAATTTTCTTGCAATTTGTTTGACATATGTATTGATTAGTTAGCCATCGGACATACTAGTCCTATTATCGGTGCATGATTATGACTACTATAATTTTTTATTTATTTTAATATTTTTTTGTGGCACAAGCAAATTTGATACTCATATCATCCGCTCGTTATTTTTTCAAATCTCTAATTATTATAAAGGGCTCACAAATATATGTATTGAAGTTGATTCAATATGTATGTACTTCGTTTTTATCAATAAAGTTAATTTTTCATTTAAAAAAAAAATCACTTGCTTTAAATCTCTAACTAATATCAAGGGCTCACAAATGGTATGTAATGTAACAATCCCAATTCGTAATTAGCTACTAATCCATATTTAACGATGCTAATGAGAGAATCAAAATAACTTATGTGTTATTTTGTGTTTTCCATGATTTTGGCTTTCTATCTGTTACTTATAGAAATATCTGTTTGGAATTCCATTTTAATATGTAAATTGAAAGCCTTATCGGTGGCCGAATCTGAAATCGATTAATGTTTTATGTTAATTATAATTTATGTGATTTTATGGTATGTTCAATTGAAATTTGATTTGGTATGATTAAATTAGATTAAAAAGTTGTATTACATCAATTTGAGTTATTTACCAAATTGCCATTAGTGGACAATGCTAGGCCATCTATTAATCTTGATTTATCTATGCATGGCATCACTCTTCATTCATCTTCCTAGAGACAAAACCGACTAGAGAGAGAGAGAGAGAGAGAGAGAGAGTTAGGAAAAAATTGGTTTCAACTAGGAATTCTTGTTTGAAGTTGGAAGAATTGAAGAGAGGATTGCATAATTGAGCATCTAGACTTGACATTGAGGACCGAAGGTAGGATATTTATCCTTTAGTTTAAGAATTCAAGTTGGTTCTTGCATGGTTCATGGTAATTTAGAGTTTAAAGTCAAGAATGGGTTTAAATGTTGAATTGAGTAGTAAATCATGCATGCATGTACATTTTCTCACAAATTGAACATGAACTCCAAGAATTCTCTCTTGCATGTTTGAAATTCATCTTCATTTAGGGAAATCATCAAGTTTCAAGTTGTTTTGTGGTGTTGGATCATGTTTTGGGAAGTTTGATACAAGAAAAATTCATGCATGTTGTGTTCATGAACATTCATCATGTTTTAAGTTGAAATTGTGAGTTTTAAACAAACTCTTGGGCCATGATTTTATGAAATAATTCTTAATTCATCATGTTTTACAAGTTTACTATGTTATCTCAAGTTTTGGGGCCCAAGAGATGCGTTTTGAAGGTTGGAATTCGAGTTTTGAGCTTGAAGGTGCAATCTGGAAATTCCAAAATTTGTATCTACGCTCGAGCGTGGGAGTTCACGCTCGAACGACCACTCTGATTGCGTGCACTCCGCTCAAGAGACCAAAAGTCTGCTCGAGCGTGAATTGCAAGCTCCCAAAAGTTTCATGTCTTTTACAGATCGCTCGAGTGAAGGAATGTGCGCTCGAGCGACCATTCACATTTTGCATATCCATTCGAGCGAGGAAAGCTACGCTCGAGCGTGGACCTTATTTTCAGAAATTTTGCCTAAGTGTTCCAAGAATGTTCCATGTTTGAAATCTATTATGGCATCCATAGATAGTCCCAAGTCATGGGGGACGTCATGAAAATGCGGGTCCATGACATACAAGTAATTACGAGATCTCGTTAGCCACTTCATTGTGGTGATATGTGTTTAATCGGTATCCGGAACCGATTACTCTAGTCGGAAGACGTTCTGTGATGCGTTCTATGGGATGTACCATTATTATGTTATGAGATGAGAATGATTATGCTATGATCTGTTTTAGGCTTATGATATGTTCGGAATTCGTTCACTAACCTCTTTACCTTAATGTTATTCATATGGCTTTAGCTCATTGTGTGTATATATATGTATAGGTGAGCATTCTGGAGCCCGAGCCTGAAGACTTTTGTCTGGATCTATGTTATGTTGTCAACCAACCATTGTGCCTCACGTGGAGGTTCCCGAAGTGTCCAGTGTTTAAGTTATGTTGTTTCTGTATATATTAGACTCGGTTGTTCTGTTGGTTGTACTTAAGATACTTTAATGTGTGTGGGTATAATGTATGAATGACTTTTGATTATGTATATAAAGTTTTTAAATATTCCGTTTCATATAAGTCAGCACAGCTCATTGGACAACTATATTTATGTATTTGCTTCCGCTAGCCCGTTAATTTTGTTAATCTGTTCAGAGGCCTTTGGTAGTCCAAGGATTACTGGCCGGTTACGATGCTAAATCTATAGGGACGGGTTTGGGTCGTGACATGTAACCTCACAAAATCATAAAGACAATTCAAATGACTTACCCAACCTAAATATTGTAAATTTGATTTTTATATACATAGTCTTATTAGATAGAGATAGGAAAATATAACCAAGATATACTATGTTTTTCGAATTATTTAATTTAGAAACAAATATAATTTTTTAAATTGACTTTAAGATCACTACAAGAAAAATCACTTTTCGCGACTAAAATAAATTTTTTCGTCGCTGAAAGTAGTACAAATGGCGACTAAAATGGATTTAGTTGCCAAAATTGGTGACTTTTGCCGACTAAAAGAGTTTAGTCGCCGAATACAAGGCTTTTAGCGACTAAAAGGCAGTTTAGTCGCCCAATGTGGGGGTTTTAGCGACTAAAGGTTGTTTAGTAGCCAAAAGTGACAATTTTTGGCGACTAAAATAATTTAGTAGCCAAAAGTGATGGTTTTGGCGACTAAAAAACAGATTAGTCGCCGATTGTTGGTGTTTTGCCGACTAAAAATAGTTTTGTCGCTGAAAGTGAAGCTTTTTGGCCATAAAAAAAAATTAGTAGCTAAAAACAGTCCATTGTCGACTAAAATTCAGTTTAGTAGACAAAAGGGGACGTTTTTTGCGACTAAAAACAGGTTTAGTCGCCAAAACTATTTATTTTTAGGCGAAACTTAATTTTTTTGCTACTAAATTATAATTAGTAGCCGAAAATGATAGAATTGGCGACTAAAAATTTAATTTAGTCGCCAAAAGTGGCCTAAATTTTTTTTTAGTAAATAATTTATTTTTTTACATAAAGTATATTGAATTAAAAAAATTATATTTATATATATTATTTTGTATTAATAGCGGTTAATATACTATATAAATAATATATTGCATATATATTGATGTGATGTTATTGTGGCATAGTGGAGGGGGTGTGTTGCAAAAAGTTTGGAGTGTGGTGGTGGTGGGATGTCTCAGGTTCGAAACCTGCGAGCAACAGGTTCAACATTTTTTTGGCGACGAAATTTGTTCTGCGACGTTTTTCCAGCGACCAACATGGCGACTAAAAAATTTAGTCGGGAAAATTTAGTCGCCAAAAGTGATTTTTCTTGTAGTGGATGTTATTGATTCAAGTCATGGAATGATGTTAATTTCATATTCTTAGCCAAGCTCAAAAATTTTCTTAATGAATTTTTTTCATGTTTTCTCATACAATTAAAAAATCTATTCCAAAACACAATAACTTTTTTTTTTTTTTATCTCTTAAAATAGTCAAAAAGCCATTTAAAATGCTAATTTCAAACAACCACTTAATCTTCGGTTAGAATGTGGGTTGACTTTTTGACTTTTAGGTTATTTTAGCCAGAGGCTAAAAAATCTCATTTGGGATATGTTTTTTTTGACTTTTTTGACTTTTGTAAGAGAAAAAATAAAATGATTGTGTTTTGAATGTGATATTTTGTCTTATTGGGCCAAAAAATCTATTTTGTCTTTTTGTGACTATTTTAGCCCAAACCCTATATGCCAAACGAAGCCTTACTTAAAATATTTAAAATTTACTTATCTATCTTTTTAAATTGTTTTTAATTAATTAAGAAATAAATTTATCTTTTATTATTTAATCATGTGCATAGCACCGATTGCATGCTAATTTGTTTTAAACTGAACAAATTGTTTGTTGATTGCCATATATATATATATTTATTATGTATGATAGTATTCAATTCATAAGTCGCAACATGAAAGGGAGGTGAAAAAGGTATTTCAAAATCGTGGAGGGAGTGATGGAGTATGGAGTGGTAGACATGGATGCGAGGTGATGGTGAGCAGTGGTGAGGCTTTGGGTTGAGAAGAAAAGAAGAGCAGGTTGGCATTTGAAAGACAAAATTGGCATTTACAAATCTTTTTTTGGATGCTGTTAACGATTTCTAACAGTTGATTAAGTGAAGGATTAAGGTGTCATGTCAATTTCTAAAGTGAAGGTAGTCTCATTTCAAAAAATACAAGGGTGTCAGTGCTATTTCAAAGATATAGAAGGCTATAGGTGTAATATACCTTATATTTAAATAGAAATCCTGACTAGGAAACATTTTGGTAAAATGTTATACATCCCAAATTTTTTAATAAATAAATGGTCAATTATGTTATTTATTTGGTAAAACATTCTCTAATCTTACCTAACATTTTGAGTTCCTATGCTGTTGAGGAAAATGGTAGGAAGAGAAGGAGGTTGGATTCCAGTAGTTAAGCAGAGAGGAAGGCAAGAGTCGCACCGATCCTGGTATGACGATCGAAGGGCTGGTCTATTCACCCTTTTTGTGGACAATACCTTATATTTAAATAGAAATCCTGACTAGGAAACATTTTGGTAAAATGTTATACATCCCAAATTTTTTAACAGATAAATGGTCAATTATGTTATTTATTTGGTAAAACATTCTCTAATCTTACCTAACATTTTGAGTTCCTAACACGTGCCTTGTTTTTAGTGCCCACGTATTTTTTAGTTCTCTCTTTGTTTTCACTGGTTTGTGGTTTTTTTGTGTAATGCTAGGGACACCAAATTTTCTACCAAATTAATGACCAAATGTCTCACATGGGTGTGGGGTCCGCAATTTTGTGGGCCCCACACCCATGTGAGACATTTGGTCATTTATTTGGTAGAAAATTTGGGACCTCTAGCATTTTCCGGTTTTTTTTGAACAGGTCACTGGTTTGTGTTTTTTTTTGAACAGGTCACTGGTTTGTTTGTGTTTCGCATTTTCTTCTATATAAGCTCTGCAAAGTAGCTCTTTTCAATGTGTTAAAAGATTAATCATGCCAACAAGAGACATGAGTTCTTCTAAGGCACAGCAACAAACACACAACCCATGTCCTCCTCATGCGGTGTGCATACCATACCCAGCACAAGGCCACATCAACCCAATGCTAAAACTAGCAAAGCTACTTCATCACAAGGGCTTCCACATCACCTTCATCAACACCGAATTCAACCACCGCCGCCTCCTCAAATCCCAGGGCCCCCACTCCCTCTCCGGCACCTCCTCCTTCCGCTTCGAAACCATTCCCGACGGCCTCCCTCCCTCCGAGGCCGACGCCACTCAGGACATCCTGGCACTCTGTCACTCCATTATGCACAACTTTATTGATCCCTTCAGAGTCTTACTCGATAAACTCAACGAAGAGGCTGCTGCTTCATCGGACGTACCTCCGGTGACATGCATAGTTTCAGATCTGACATACCCAGCACAAGGCCACATCAACCCAATGCTAAAACTAGCAAAGCTACTTCATCACAAGGGCTTCCACATCACCTTCATCAACACCGAATTCAACCACCGCCGCCTCCTCAAATCCCAGGGCCCCCACTCCCTCTCCGGCACCTCCTCCTTCCGCTTCGAAACCATTCCCGACGGCCTCCCTCCCTCCGAGGCCGACGCCACTCAGGACATCCTGGCACTCTGTCACTCCATTATGCACAACTTTATTGATCCCTTCAGAGTCTTACTCGATAAACTCAACGACGAGGCTGCTGCGTCATCGGACGTACCTCCGGTGACATGCATAGTTTCAGATCTGACAATGAGCTTTACTCAGAAAGTGGCTGAAGAAGTGGGCATACCTGCTGTTTTTTTCTTCCCTGCCAGTGCTACTGCCTTAATGGGCCTTGTGGCTTATCCCCAACTCATACAGAAGGGTATTGCACCACTCAAAGGTGCGTACTGAAATTATCGATATATTAGTAGGATTTTATTATTTTGTATTTTTATAAAATTTTAATATAGAATGGTGTGTCTTGATATTGAGCTTTTATTTTAAAATTAAATGTCTATGAGAATAAGAGCAATACTGTAGAACTATTCAAGTTAAAAATTAAACTCACTTTTTAAATTGTGTAATGTTATAGTATATTAAAATATTTAAAAAAAAAGGTTCACTTATATTATATTTAATAATTCATTAATTATTTTATTTATACATCATTTGATCTAGAAAATTAATTAGCAAATTCGACTTATATATGATTTTTATACTAAAAAATACAAAAAGTTTAACATGTTAAATAAATAAGAGCAATACTGTAGAACTATTCAAGTTAAAAATTAAACTCACTTTTTAAATTGTGTAATGTTATAGTATATTAAAATATTTTTAAAAAAAAGGTTCACTTATATTATATTTAATAATTCATTAACTATTTTATTTATACATCATTTGATCTAGAAAATTAATTAGCAAATTCGACTTATATATGATTTTTATACTAAAAAATACAAAAAGTTTAACATGTTAAATTACAAGCTGGTTGGACTTAAAAAAATGAATCCAATTTTTGCCTTTCAAGCTTATCTCCTATTGGGTATATTAATGTAATTTAATCAAGTAGTTACCGATATCCGATTAATATGATTTTTTACAAGAATAAAGTACTAGATGAGTCCTACACATTAAACGAATCAAATCATTAATGTAGAGTTCGTGGTGAGCCCACAAAGGTTCAACAATACACTCCAGTCTGATTTAGACGGTAGAGAAGCCTTCCCCTATCTATTGATACATCTATTCCTAGATTTATTGTTAAAATAGTGTTGGTTTATAAAACTATCATTAACACATTTTTTATGTGACATTTTTTTGTATAATGTTTGTGTACTAGTAGAGGATTTTTTGGGGGTAAATTACCACACAATGGTATTTCCAAAAAATAATATTACAATTTCATGGTAAAAATTATAATTTTAATAATTAATATTTATAAAATTTACCATTTATTTATAATTATTGTTTTAATTTACACTGAATTGAAAGTTTCTCATTTTTTTTTTTTTTGTACTCCGTTTTTTAGAATAAATTATACCAACTCTCTTAAAATTTCAAAAATATATTAATTTTTAAAATTGTAATTACATTAACTTTCCATATATTTTATGTTTCATATTCTTAACAGTTTCATTTTTTTTTTTCTTTTTGTTTTGATTTGGTTAATCAACAGCTAATAATTTCAATGTAAAACTATAACATGATCAAATTTTATTTTAAAATGTCAATATCTATCTTTAATTGAACTAACTTCCGAGTTCTCCCAGCCCACCTTAATCTGTACACCTACACCACCACCACCAGAAAATCAAAAATCAATGTAAAAAATATATATATTTATTGAAAAATGTAATAAAATTTAAAAAAAAAATGTGATTTAAATATGTGATTATCAAAATCCATTAAATCATATTTTTGTACATAACAATTAGTCAAAAAGAATAAAAATTAAACAATTTAAATTAATGAAATGGATTTGAGGTGGACCCATTATGGGACCCTCCAAGCCAATTGGTGGGCTAGAGATTTTATTCATTATTTTATGTGGCATAAATACAGTGGTTAAATTTATTTTACACTTGTGGTTTGGAGGCTAAAGCATTTTAGAAAGATCTCATGTAATTTTGAATTAAAGTATCACTATTAATTTTTTCATCCAAACTAATGGAAGGTACGTTATACTCACTAATTTTTAAAGTAGATTTGTTTTTTCAAAAAAAAAAAATGAAATTAATACAACAAAAATACGATTTCACTCACATTTTTTCTAAACTTAAAATTAGCTTATTATGTTAATTAAAATAAAACAAAACAAAATATAATTAATGATTGATCTAAAATATAAAATATAATTAAGAATTGATTTAAAATATTATTAAATTAAATTTAAAAATAATTAAAAATTAAAAATTGATCTGAAATATCTTTAAATTAAAATTAGATTAACATGTTAGGAATTACAATAAATAACTAAAAATTTAGGATTAATTATGAAAATATAATTAAATTAAAATTAATTTTAAAATATAGGAATTAAAATAAATAATTGATCATTTAAGATCAATTGTGACATAAAATTTAATTAAATTAAAGTTAGAATAAAAAGTTAAGAATTGCAAGAAATAATTAAAATTTATAATTAATTGTGATTTAATTGAATTAATATTGGATATTGTAAATTATGTGTTTGAAAGATGAGAGAGAAATAAAATAACAAATATATATGTAAGATTTGAGTGTATTACAATCATTTCATATCTATAGTTAATGGCTTTAAAGGTTGCATTTTTGTTCAAAATCACATGGAGGTTTCGGATTATATTTAAACCAAATGGGGGTAAAGTGATTTGACCTCAAACCACAAAGAAGTAAAATGAATTTAATTCTAAATATTTTCATTCCTTTATTAAAAAAAAATGTAGGGTACAATTCATTTTACTTCTTTATAGTTTGAAGTAAAAGCATTTTACCCCCTACGATTTAAATATAGTCAAAAAAATTTTATATGGTTTTAAACCAAAGTGAAACTATTAACACTGTTAACTATAGATGCAAAATGACTATAATATCCTCAAATCATATACTCTCTCTCTCTCTCTCTCTCTCTCTCTCTCTCTCTCTCTCTCTCATATACACATAATTTATAATATATATCTAACACTAATTCAATTAAATCACAATCATTACAGTTTTTTATTTATTTGTTATAATTCTTAACTTTTTATTCTAATTTTAATTTAATTATATTTTAGATCACAATTAATTCTAAATATTTAATTATTTTATATTTTAGATCAATCCTTAATTATTTTTTAATTCATTTTATTTTAATTAACATATTAATCTAATTTTAGGTTTGGAGAAAATGAGGATAAAATTGTCTTTTATTGTAATAATTTCACTTTATTTTTTCATAAAACTAATCCCACTTTCACAAATGATGTGTGTGATGCATCTGCCATTAATTTGTATGGAAAATCTAATGATGATACTTTAGCACAAATTCACATGTGAACTTTTTGGTTATATTTGAACCATATGGCTTTGTTTGTTTGGAGAGTTAGAGAGGGGATTGGGATTGGCATAAAAGGGAGATTGGGATTGGCAGTAAGGTGGAACCCACTAACATTGTGTTTGTTTTGAGAGATGAAAAGCGGATTGATAGTGAGTTCCGAATTATGAATCCCCTTAAGGAGGGGATTCGGATGGGTCTCCAAAACTTTGTATTAGAAAAATAGTCCGTCGGATTAGAATTTTTTATTTTATTTTTTACATGTTGAGCTTTTTTTTTTTGAACATTAATGTTTAATTTTTGTATTTTTTGTTAATTAAAAATCATTATTTTATTTTTTTTATTTTTTTCTTGAAATTTTTTATTTTTTATTTTTTTAAAAATTTTTTTACATGTTGGGCAATTTTTTTTAAAACATTAATATTTAATGTTTTTGTTTTTTTTATTTGTTTTATTATTTTATATAAAAATAATTTAACAACCTCTACACTAACAACTATCATAAAAAAATAAAATTTTACTTAATCCTCTCACTATCAATCCCCTCACTATCAATCACTTCACTAACAATCTTCTCATTATTAAACCCCTCATTATAAATTTTTTCTATTCTACCTCTGAAAACAAATGGGACCTATGGGAGTAAAGTTCTCTAGCTCCAAACTACGAGGAGGTAAAATAAATTTAACTGAAAAATTTATAATATGCCTTTTAAAAAAAGGAACATTTTATATGCATTTCATTAAATCTAAAAAATAAACTTAACCATTGATCATACTCAAAATTGGGTTGTAACTAACATCAATTTGAAACATCACGACTACTTGTCATATCCGACACCATATTGGATATAACTTCTAATAGTTTTGGGCCCCACCAGAACAAAGCCTATAACAAAATACCACAATACTTCGTAATTAACATTATTTTAATTCGTACTTGTATATGTAGTATACACCAAGTATATTGTAGCTTGACTATCAATTTATGTACTAATATTTTCCTAACTGTAATCTTTTTCTTTACAAATGCAGATGCAAGTTATTTAACAAATGGTTACCTAGACACTGTGATAGATTGGATACCAGGCATGAATGGCATACGATTGAAGGATCTCCCGAGTTTCATTCGAGCCACTGAACTGAATGTCATGACTCATTTCCTTTTGGAAGCAATTGACAAAGCACACGAAGCTTCGGCCATCATTTTCAATACCTTCGACGCTTTAGAACATGACGTTTTAGAAGCACTGTCAACAATGTACCCACCCATATACCCCATTGGCCCTCTTCAGTTTCTCCTCGACCAATTCCCACAAAATCACTTGAATTCCATTGGATCAAGCCTATGGAAAGAAGAAACAGAGTGCCTTTCATGGCTTGACTCGAAACAACCCAATTCAGTCATTTACGTCAACTTTGGCAGCATCACTGTTTTGACACCCCTACAATTGATTGAATTCGCCTGGGGACTCGCTAATAGCAACCAAACATTCTTATGGATCATTAGGCCTGATCTGGTTGTTGGTGACTCCGCGATTCTTCCACCGGATTTTGTGAGTGAGACTAAAGAAAGGAGTCTATTAGCAAGTTGGTGCCCTCAAGAACAAGTCCTCAATCATCCAGCAATTGGAGGTTTCTTAACACACTCTGGGTGGAATTCGACTCTTGAGAGTATTTGCAGTGGGGTCCCTATGTTGTGTTGGCCATTCTTCGCGGATCAACAGACGAATTGTTGGTTATGTTGCGGCCAATGGGGTGTTGGGATGGAGATAAACAACGATTTTAAGAGAGAGGAAGTTGAGAGAATGGTCAGAGAGTTGATGGCTGGAGAGAGGGGGAAAGAGATGAAAAGAAAGGTCATGGAGTGGAAGAAGTTGGGTGAAGAGGCCACGACTTGTTCTGTTGGGTCATCTTACTTGAATTTTGAGAAGATGGTCAGGTTTGTGCTTATGTCTGCTGGTTCAAATCAAAGTAGTTAGTGTGTGTGCACATTTTCATCTTACAAGCAATTTCTGAAATAAGTTGTTTCTTTTTTCTTTCTTTTTTTAATTGTTTAGAATAATCTTGTACAAGTATTGTCTTGACAGGGGGTTAGGGATGGATTTGTATTTTGATTTCCATTGTGTCTCAGAATTGTATTATTATGCTTTTTTAATAAAGAACATGTTCTTGTTGTAGTTTTTTTTCTTATTTTTTTTTTTCTATTTTTGTCATTAAATAATGCCATATACATAATTTTAGGTTATTCTTTAATCCAAATAAGCTTTCCTCCAATCAAGATTGCCGAACCCTCCTCCTGCCATCAAAAATGGAACTCGTGTTCTGTAATTTTATTTTTTATTTTTATATCTGACAGCACAAAATATAATAATTTTATTATCATTTGTGATATAATTTGATTAGGAGTTGTTCTAACGAATGCTCCTATGATAAAAGAAAATATATAAAAAAAAATTGTAGATTCCTAGATAAATAGCAATAATTTAGCTTCTTTTTATTTTATTTTATTTTAGAGTGAAAGTTATAGCACATATGGACAAGACAGTTGGCCAAGTGGTCAATGTAGATATCCATTGGGACATTAAGAATGCGAGAGTTTCGTATTCGAGTGATTGCGACTCTTTTATTGACTGTTTGAATATAAAAATAAAAAAAAATGACTGCCATGAGGGAGATTTATTTAATCAGTAAGTGATTGTTTGGGGTTTGTTTATTTATTTATTTTTATTTTTTGATTTATTTTTGGCTTCAACAAAAAAACTAAATTAAAAAAAAAAAATTAGAATGAGAAAAAAATTTTAAAAAATAAAATCTTCCAAAAAAAAAAAAGTTTAAAATGGGCAAAAATAAGTATAAAAAAAAAGTAGGCTTTTTTGACTTGTTTTGACTTTTTTTTTTTTGCAAAATTTTTCAAAATTACATTTTAGATTCATCTTCATAAGATATATATATATATCTATATATATATATATAAATTTTGATATAGTTTTTTTAAAAAAAATCACTCCAGTAAAAAAAATTTAAGAAGTGACATTTTTCTTTATTTCCAAACTGACTCTAAAATGCTCGGACAAATTTTGTACTTTCTACCCATCGGGGGTGGTGGTGGAGTGGAAATGCGTTGGCTTTTTACATAGGTGGACATGACTCGATTTTTGAGGACCAAGGTGATGTTTGTGGGCTTTTATAAGTTTCCCGTGGCACAATCCTAGTAGGACTTGTATTTCTCCATGCAGTGTCCTCCTAGGATTCATACTCCTAAGGATAATGCTTATCCTTTTACACCCTCCCCCACTGCTTAAACCAAGTGGGATGGTTTCCTCCATGGCCGAACCACCATTTGACCGAAATAAATCTTGGCTATACTTAAGCCACCGAGTGGACCGAACTCACTCATAGTTCGGTTCTTTTGTCTTCCCTTTCTTATCTCGGCTTTCCATATAGAACCCATAGTACGGTTTTAGGCCGAACCAGCGACTTTCGACCGGTATAGCCCCAAGACCGGCACAACTCCAAGTTGCTTTCGGACCGAAGTACCTCTACAGTCACTGCGCCGAAGTAACTTTGTCCCTCTTATGCCGGAGTAGCTTTGCCTCTCCTCGGCCGGAGTAACCCTGTCTCTCCTGGGCCGGAGTAACCATACCTCTCCTGGGCCGGTGTAACTATGCTTCTTTTGGGCCGGAATATCATTACGGCCTTTTACTGTGTCCTTCACACTTTGGGCCATAAAGTCCATCTTACAGCTCGGTTCAATTCTCTCCAAAAATTACCCTCTCAATTGCCCCTTAATTCCATCTGCACAGCGTGATTGGGATTACCAGTCTATCAACCGAGCTGAAGTTTATTAAGCCTTTCCAGCCGAGCTAAAAACCCTTTAGCTTCTCTAGCCGAGCTAATTTTACTCCGGGCTCCATTTTGTCCGGTCAAAAACGTCTCTTCAATCATAGCGTCTGTAACGCTTCCCATTCCAGTGACACGTGGCAAGCTCTGATAAGCTGTGAACAGCTGTCACGCCGCCCTCGTAGTACGAAAAATTTGAACAGTCCCGCCTTTTCGTCCTTTAACCAAAACAACCCTTTTATTTTTTGAATCACTTTCTCCATTATTCTTTCGTCTTCTCTCTCTATGCCTTTGTTTCTTCCATTATCAAGCTCGCGTTCTTCATTTGCTGATACTGTTGCCGACTCCAGTCCTCTTTTATCCCATCTGGTAAGCAAATCCATCTCCCTTCCATGTTTTTCCTTTGTATCTGTTCAGTGCATTATGTTTAGTGTGTCTTTGCAAAACATTTCTTCCATTTTTGCTACGCTTCTGTACTTTCAGTAGAACTTATGTGTGTACGAATTATCCTGTAAAAAACTAGTCTTGGATCCAAAACCATGTAGCAACCGAACTAGGATACTGTTTGTCCCATATATGTAGATAGATTCAGACAATAACCAAACTAGAACTTGTAGGAATATCAGTAGTTTCTTCTGAACCACTTTAGCCGAGATAAGAGCACCGAACAAAATTTGCACATATTGAACTAGGTACTCCGGTCTATAACCGAGCTACGCCTTTGGGGCCAAGCCAGCTTTCTTAGTTTCTAAACCAGACTCAGAAAGCTGCCCCTAGAGGCTCAACCGAAGTAACAAAACCCACAGTTCAAACCGAAATAATCAACCAAACCCGAAGTCCGAACCGAGATACAAACTGTAGCATCCCTCATAGCCGAAGTAGGACATGTATTGCTCTTATTTGTAGCACGGTCAGATGATCTGTGCTTAACCCCTATGTTTTCCACTTTGCAGACTTAGGTGGCCCAAGCACTCTCTTGTACACTCGACCGAGCTACTGAGTACAACCCTTGAACCGATCTAACTTATTCTTAATTTATACCATAGATGGGCAAGTATAGATACCTAGTAAATACCCCGGGCGGCCTAGCCGAATTCAGGAAAGACTACCAAATACCTGACAACGTCCAGCTGGTTTTGGCCGAAAAAGACATCACACCCTGGGATAATGAAGGCGTCGTCTCCTTCACCCTTTTATCTATCATCGAAACCGGCCTGCGGTTTCCGGTTCAACCGTTGATCTGTGAATTTCTTAGGCAGACTAGATTATGCCCTACCCAACTGTCCACCAATACGTACCGCATCATCATGGGAATAGCCGCACTGAACCACCAAACCGGACTAAATCTTGGCTTGGCCGAAATATTCCATCAATACTCCATCGGCTCAAAAGAAGATGGGTGGGTATATTACCTTAGGATACGCCGCCGCCGAGAGAAGATAATTAAACACACACCAGACAAAGATGTAAATGACGACGACTTTTTCTGGGTCTCTGGGAACTTTGAGGATTTTCAAGCCCAAATTCCTGGCCGACCTATAAATTGGAAAAAAGGGGAGCCCGGTAATTTAACTTCGGCCTTGTTTTTTGCGATTTTTTATTTCGGTTTTGCTAGTCCATCAACCGAACTAACAGTTGTCTTTATTTTCGCAGATTCTGCTCACCTTCATTCCGTGTACAGTTATCCAAATCTTGCTGTGTTGCGAGCCGCACTACGGTATCCTGAACGTAGTTGGACCAAGTTGCTGCAATTCGAGCCGACCTACCGATATAGCGGTCGCCGAAAAGCCCGAGTGACCGATTTCCTCCTTGAAGACGCACCTGAACCGGACCCAACCCTGCCCGAGATACGACTTGTTCCACTGACTGCAGAAGAAGAGATGGCAAAGAAAAGCAGAGTTAGGGCCCTTCTGACCGAAACAACTAGGCCCGAGGTAACACCACCCAGCCAATCGCAACCTGCTGTTGTAGCCCTCCCTTCTCAACAGCCATCATCTTCTCGCCGAACCAAGCGCGCCCGGACTGCTGAGACCGAACAAGTATTGGTTGATGAAGCAGAACCCGTACTTCCGCCGAGCTTGCCACCGAGCCCCCAACTGGTTCCTTCTGACCGAACTACCGACCGCTGGGCCCCAAAACTTACCTTTAACGACCGAGACATCCGAAATACAGATTCGGTCGTTGCTGAAAAAGACCATTTATTGGCCCTCAATCTGGCCAAGGGTGTGTGCCTCCCTAAAGACATGGAGCATCACCAGAAACAACTGAATACCGAGCTAAAGGCCATCCGGTCAACGACAAAATCCATGATTCTGGTAGGCAACTTCGGTCGTTTTGCTGTCTACTTTCTTTTTTCAACTTCTACTTCGGTTTTAAAGGGAAATCTTTGCTTTGTCAGGCCCTTCAAAAAAACCAAATTACTCACAAGAAAGTGCTTGAGCTTAGGAAAATAACAAGGCAAGCGGCGGCGGAGGCCGAAGCAAAAACGACCGAGCTAGAGGAGGCCCGAAAGCAGATGGCCGAGCTACGCGGGGAGGTCGGCAGGCTGACCGGACTGGTTAATTCGGCGGAAGCCGAAAAGCAAAAGACTGCCATTGCTCTGAAGGATAAATACCTGCGCGAGCTGGTGAAGCTTGAAAGAAAGAAAGATGCCGAAATGAAGGAGAGGGCAAAGGAAGCTGACAAACAAGGCTTCAAGAGGGCAGAGGATGCTTATGCCCAACAATGCAATGCTGCCAAGGAGCTGTTCTTTAAGTGCGGCTGGAGGGGAGCCGTTGAGAAGCTCGGTCATGACCCTCAGACCGAGGTTTTCAACCCTCCAGCCTACTTCATACCGAACTCCCTGATGGAATATGCCAAAGCCATGCAACAGCAGTTCCTTGAGGGCTCAGACGATGAAGACTCTGATGAAGACTCTGCCCCTGAGGATACTCCGGTCGTGAATGTAGATCAGGTAGTTCGGTCGGAGCCCATGGTGGAAGATCTAACTATTGATCAACCAAGTGAAACCGTGGTTCCGGCCGAAACCACTCTTCCGACTGAAAACGTCCTTGCGCCCGAAACCGGTCTTCAGGTTGCTGCCGATGCTGCCTTTGACGCCGAGATCGAAGATCTTTTTTCTTGATTTTTTCTCTTTGTTTGTTATCTTTTCTTTGTAACCGGGTTATGCCCCTTCCCTTGTAATGGTTTTGCAATGAATGAAAAATTTTGCTAGAACTCTTATTCCGGTTTTAGTTTGTATGCTTGCCTTTGTAATGCTCTCTATTACTCCAACTGCTATTTCGGTTTTCTCTTGTTAGACTATGCTTACCAGCCAACCACTCCTTAGCCGACATAA